TACCATGTTAAATAGCTATTTGTTTATGAACCGATATACAATCCGAATTATTCGCGCAGATTAACTAGTATATTTATAATTCAAATAATTTTTTTTTAAAGATTTCTTTTTAGAATTTGGGTTCTGATTTGAATAGTTCATTGTCGAATAAACAAACAAAATATCTACGATCATGAAGAAGTCAGCTTCAAAATAACTTATCTCGCTCGATTCGTTGACTTTTGAAAACATCTGTGTTTTGAAATCTCTCAATTTTTTCAAAGACTTCTATTGTAGTTGTGGTAAGGTTATAATTTCTGAAATTGGTATTTGTCGCTTCTGCAAGGCTTGCTTCCTTTCTTCAAAATCCATAATTCCTGAGAGCCGAAAAAGGGATCTTTACTACCCTATTATATATCTGTGAATAGTGTGTTAATTGGAATATTTATGGAAAAACGCAATTGAAAGTTTGTAATTTTCACATGTGCAAGTTCATTTTTGAGTTTCAACCCATAATTCATAAAGGAATGTCAATTTCTGTAATAGCCGCCTAACTTAGCCCCGGAGAAGCAAAGAAAGAGGGAAAAATTAGCTTTCTAGTGATATTGAGGTGCCACAGATGTGGTGTAGATACACACACAGGTAGATGTAGTAGATAAATAATTTTACGTTAAAAAGTTAGATATTGAAAGATTGTTAAAAATAACTAAGAGGTTAACTGAACTACGCGAAATATACGAAATATTTCATAGAAACTGTCCAACAATGCAGTATATGCCTTCAGGGTGGAGTTGGCAGAGTTCTCAAACATCCCCCTCGACGACTAAGTATACCTGATGCGGTATGAAGGGTAGCTGGCCATGTGGCAGCAATGCACCGCAGCTAAATCAGGATCCTATCTCTATAAGGAATCCTATCGCATGACCACTAATTATAGTTTAGTTGTCTCCTCCAATGACAGTTCGGGCTGTACGCTTCGTATTTATATACGGTATGGCAATCAGGAAGAGGAAATAAGAAAGAAAATAGCTCCACAATACTTCATCACATATATACGTAATCCAACTATTCCTCAGATAAAGTAAAAATATACATACACGTAGAAATAAAAAAAGGGTTTTTCGTATTTATCAAAATTGGTGATGTACCAACATGCTCTTCCTAAGAACCAGGTCGGTTAAAATAATACGATATAACCACTAACTAACCAAACGGTGTAAGAACTATAAACTAAATAAGGACAGAACCTCCCACAAGGACAATTCAAAATTCACCTGAAGTTGCAAAAGTTATTTACTATATAATTAAAATATTTCATAATCCATCACCACAAGTTTTAAAAAATGAGCACGACTTATAAATGGTTTTAGGTTCATGCAAAAAAAAAAAACTGTTTCTAGACAGTGCTTACAATCAACCATTAAAGTACTTATCTTAGGAATGTTACCCGCTCTTATCATGATCCATAATTATTTATAAGAGGATTTGTTTTACATGAAACATTTAATAGTTTCAAATCAAAGATCTTAAAAATACTAACCAAATAAAGATAGAACCACACTTCAAGACAATTCTAAATTTACCTAAACTGGCAAAACATTGATTGGTTAGTTATATATTGGTATTTGATAGGCTAAAGGCTTTTAGGATTTTTTCTATGATATCCTATTAACCAATATTAATTAAAATATTTCATGATACATAACTATAAAAGTTTTAATAAATGAGCAAGTTTTGGATTCATCTTAAAAGGAAGAACTGTTTCTACACAGTGCTTAAGATTGACCATTTAAGCATCTTATCCATTATGTTATCACACTCTTATCAGTAATCCATAATTGTTTATAAGAGGACTTTTTTTTTTTTAATTTTTATTTGTATTAGCCACTACCCTACAGGTTCAATATTCAATAATTTTTTATTTTAACTTTAATGATTTATAATTTTTATAAAATGTTTCTTTTTTTTTTTTAATGGCCTGAGACATGCAAACCACAAAACAATACAGAAATACTCAGGATACATTAAACATATTTAAAAAGATACATATATATTAACTAAAACCATCTGAAACAGCACAGCTGGTAATGTCAACCCCTAAGCAAAACTTAGGCAATCCCACATAACCTCAATGCCAGCTGGTTAGCAGTTTTTAATTTCTCCTTTAAAAGAAAAAAAACATTTAACTTTTTACACTACTTTGTACATTTTTAATCAAAATACATCCCAAGCACCAATATATTTTTTTTTAACTCTAAAATTAACACAACCAAATTTTTATATCAAATATAAACACCGTTGACATTTTAATATCCATTTAAATACTTGATAAGCGATAGATAAAAATGGCTAATTAATTTTCTTATAACAGCCAAACATTGATTAACAAAATATTAAGGATATACAGAAAACTATCAGTATTGTTGCTAAAGCACTTATATTTAAATTAATAAGGAAAATTAAAAATATTCTACTAATTTAATAATCAATGTGTTATATATTAACAAAAATAAGAAAATGATTGATTTTTCCTCCCAAATAGAACATAACATTAAATTCTTTGAAGAACTGAGAATAAAAAATTTAAATATTGACCGAAGAAGGTGAACTGAACAATTTTTTTAAATAAACTTTAAAACGAGTAAATAACTGATTATTATACCATAACGGTCCAATTGCATTTCCTAACTGTAGAGTTATTCTCTAATAATAATTTTGAGTGATATAAGAGTCTTTCATTCAGTTGATAAAATGACTAAATCCAATTTCATCATATTTGATTATTAATTTTAGTGATATTTCTGTTGGGAAAATGTATACATTGATTCACAGTTCTATATTTCAACACTGCTATCACTTACTCTGGAATCAACTTACTTACTGTCTGTACAAATATTATAAATGTTCTAACTATAAATATCACTAAAATGACTTTACTCAAAAATATTGAAATCGGAGTTAGTCATTTTGTCAAATGAAAGGCTCCTATAAGGTATGGACTAAAATTCATTCAGAAAATCTTTTAGACAAATGAAAAAAATGTACCACAACAAAAATATAATTAATAATACACTCCAATCCAAGAAATTATTTTTATACACCTAGGTTGAAAAAAAAAAATTAAACTATTTTTTAAAAATATTATAAAGATTAGAAAAAATTCACTTCAAAATATTAAAGTAAGTTAATTCACTATATTAAATATGTAAATAAAAATACATATTAAATAATAAAAATGACACAAAAAATAATATAAATCGGTTGACAAGAAGTAAAATAAAAATATATATTAAAGAATAATTATGAAACAAAAAATAGAATTATCAAACCTATCAAACTATTGATAAAAAATAAACATGAGAGAAGTGGTACTTGTTTCAAAGATGAACTTAAAGCAAAAGCACTCAAATAGGTGCTGATTAAATTTATAATTTATTGTAGGTTTTTTCAGTTTTATATTTTTTAGGTTTAAGGAATCTCTAGAAAGCTCAGAAAATCTACTGTAATATAATCAATTATTTATCTCATTATCTATATTAATTTACAGATAATAGTTAACCAAAATTAAACAGTAGAAATTAACTTTCTATGTATAAGATCGTTGGTTCATCGAAAATCATTTAATGGTTTAATTTCACAACAAATGAATACAAAATTATATACAAAAATAGGTTAATTTATGATCATTTTATAAAAACAATTAGACAAGATAGCCCAAACAATAATGAAGCGCTGATTTGTTAACAGAAAAATTATATAATGCAATGAATGCCATGGTATGGACATAAATGTTTTAAAAAAAATTATTTCAGACGGAATAAGATTCATTGCAAGTGAATTAATAATGACAAGTTAAATTGTTTTTTAGTAAATTAGTATAACAAAGAAACCTTAATTGACAAAACAATGTTATAAAAGAAAACAATGATATTTACAATACATTAATGACAAATATTGTATCACTTAGGATTTAAAAATAAAAGAAATTTCTTAAATGATATAAAACCGATCTGTAAATAAAAACCTTCAATGTTTTAAGTTATATGGTAATCTTATAATTAGAATAATATGACAAGAATAATCAACATTATAAAACAATTAACTTGAAATGTCTTAACTCTTTTTGACAAATACTTTGAAATTACTTATAATTTTAAGGAGAAGAAGAGGGGAGTGGATAAGCAAAAAGGACCTTGGCCCAGTTACCTGGCTATGCTAGGCTACTAATATTCAAATTATAAAATGACATAACTTAAACTAACATTTTTACTTTATTAGTGTATGAACTAAAAATAAAATATTTTAAAATTGAATGAATAAAGATCATTAACTGAAGAAATGAAACATTTTCCTATTCTGATTTTTTTTTTTTAAATTGTGGTATTTTGGCAGTTCAATAATCTAATATTAGAAAACAAAACTATAAATCAATACATTATGCGAAGATTACAATATCTCCATAAAGCTAAAAAACAAAAAAGCCTAGGTTTAATCTTAGTAAATTAAACTAATATGGTAACAACCCCAAAAAACATAAAAATTAAACATAATTAATTAATTACTGGTACATATCTAACTATCCCAAATATCTAAAACCATAAAAAACCGAATAATTATCTCATAAAATATCAATTTAAGTAATCAAGAAATATTTCATGATCAGAAAGATAAAAAGAACAATAATTTAAACTCTAGGGGGTTTGAAAACTTGAAAAAGACAGATAGGTCGATAAACAGAAATTGAACTATGTTATCAACCACATCTTAATCCAGACTACATAATATGTTGACAATATTATGTAAGAAGACATATTAAGCGACACTTTTCTTGAATGTGTCAATAACAATAGAAATTAGATTAAATAGTTAGACTGAAACAAAATCCAACTTTGTTTCGGTAAACAAAAACAACAAAGGATGAATGACATGTAAATATAAACAAAGGTTAATGACAACTAACCCATACCAGAACAAGTAATAATACAGCTAAAATTGATAACAATAATAAAAAAAATACTCACATTTAGGTTTCTGCTTCTCCATGAGCATGAGATGTTCATGCTTGTGCCAAACGTCGGCCCTCTTTGAGTGCACGGCAGCAACGGTAGAATCCATAGCCGCCGGCACAAGGTCCACGTTCAACAGAACCATCGAACCATCCGCCCCACCAACTACTAATCCCGTTCCCTCCAGTATTAATATTATTTAATATAACAGGAAGAGTTTCACTCTATCCACATAACACAGTCACTTGTTCAGAGTCAATTAATTTTGCAGCAGCTGATTTATTCCTTGATTTTCAAGTAATATTCCACCACAATAATGTTAAGATGTTACACAGTTCGATCACTTCAACCTTGGTTTATTAAAATAAATTAAAAACAAAAATAAGAAAATAAAAGGAATGTATATACAAATCAAAACAAACACACAATGCAAGAGGTTATGTTGTCCTCATAGAAACACATTGCATAGTCCAGGATTTAAAAAATAAATAACCTTGATTTTCGATGTTCACTAGTTCAAAACAAAAATAAATAAAATCCAATCTAACAGATTTAAAGTCTTCAACATTAACAGTTTGTTAACAAAGCGCACTCCCCTTCAGATATAGGCTGGCACAAAATGGACTCTTCCATACAGGTCAAAAGCACGAAAGCAAAATAACAACAAACTGGCGCTTCCAGCATGTGCAAACCATTACATCTTCAAATTCACAGATTCCTAATTAACGTATCACACACTTTGTCTTAAAATTTGAGTCGATATTGGCTAATGTCCCTTAAAAAACTAGGAAATCAAACCCTATATTCTTACTAATGTGGAGGTTCATCAGTAAGTTGTTCCCACTTTTGTCAGGATCCAATCTAGCTCGTGGATTTCCATCGAATACATCACAGATGAACATGTTGAATGTAAAGATGATAAATCCCCCTCAGTCACTTGCAACATCGAAAGATTTGACACATTTTTTTAAACTTTTCACTGTTATAACAAGAGACTAAGCACGCCCTCCAATAGAACCATCAAACATGGCAGACACTGTACTGAAACTGGCGTGGCCGAGTCGATCCGGTGATCATTTCAAACAACACTAGCGCTAGTGACCAATGTACATTTCTTCCCTCCCATTACCAAATTTTCCTCATGATATTTGATAAACTTAAGAAAAATCATAGTCATTATCATGTTATTTACTTCATCATACAATACTCAATGACAAATATTTATAAAGATTAAACATTTTAAACGCAGTCTTTTGTTCCCGTTGCACCAGCCCTTTTCATAGTAAGCTCTTTACCGATTGGCTCTAAAGGATGCATGACGTCATTCGTACATAATCTTAGCCAATAACACACTAGATTATTTTTTCAGTTCAAACTGGTCTCTAGGAACTATTATCTATATATTTTTTAAATAAAAGGTCTTCAAATTTAGTTAATTTATTAAAATATATGCATGTAATGCGCATCTCATTTATAAAACATTTATCTGTTGACAGCCTATTTTAATAGTTCTACATAGTATAATTTACTATTACTTAGTGATAAGATAATATATACCATATTTATAACGAACATAGTACAAATTACACTTTATTTATAAAAAATATCATCACTACAGCAGTGATTATTTGAATAATTACTAATTTTAAAAAATCCAATAGAAATGTATAAATTAAATTTTTTTTTTTTACAGTAAATAATAAACAAATTAAGCCAAACACCTCCTGAAAAAGTTGATATTTAATAAATTATGAAAAAAGTAATTAACAAGTAGTAAGTAACTTCAGTTTCATAGCGTAATAAATCCAATTTTTCATTGATTTTTAACTTAATTGTTATTTTTCAACTTTATTATGATGAAAAACAAAATAAGAATAAAATATTGAATTAATAAGAGATTCTGTCCTGACAGTGCATTGGTGGTTCATTTTAACTTTATTCAGAACAACCTGTAATTTTCACTTTCATCTATTTTCAATTTATATTTAAAACAGATGTATTTAAATCAAAAATTGATTTCAACATCAAATTTAATATTAATTTTTTTAATATTAAAAGAGTTAAACATTTAACCAAAAATAAATGATTTTTTATTCTTTTTATATACTTATATCATTATCATAAGTGTGACACGGTATATTATTAACATAATTCTTTAACAAATGTATCCTTGTGGTTAATAAATGTTAAAATTTAAAAAGCCTCATTTTTTCATCATTCTTAATTGTTAGTAAAAAAAAAAGTTAATCTGATTGCTCAAATAACTGTAATTGAATTGCCATAAATTTGATAGCAATGATGTTTCTATAATATAATGATACTCTTAAAGGTGGCAGAACATTTTCTTCTTTTTGTATCTATTTTCTTAATGAGTAACCCAAAGGAGGACCAATTTTTCAAAACGATAAGGTTCTCTATCATACAACGTTATATACATTTTCATAAATTGTTTACAATTTATGAGTTTTTACTCGAAAAGTTACAAAACAGTATGGAAATAAAACAACAAAATTACAAAAAAAAAAATTACAAATAATGATAAAAATGAAAATAATAATGATCAATAGATTGCTAAACTATATTTCATTATCCATATAAGGGATCAGAGTCTCTAATTGTTTTAGGAATTTTAAAAGTCGGATTTAAATTTTGTCAATATTTTGTTTTTAGTTTCATGTTTTAATTTTTTTATTATTCATGCTCATGTTGTCAGACTATTTCTTGTTATGATTTGCTCATCGGTTAATTATGTTGTATGTTAAGTTTTGAAAATAAGTCGTCTGTAAGCGGTAAATTTGAAGTTTGCTGTGAGAAATAGTTTTTTAATGGTATCCGTCCTAATCTCTCTTTCAGTAAACAAAGTACTGCAGTAGGTGAAAAGTAATAGCTGCTTCTTAGCAGGTATATAACAGTTTTTGGGATCAAAAAAATAAAAATTATTTGCATATTATTATATTTCTTTTTTTTTCCCTCACCTTTCAGGCTATATGAGGTTTTTCCCAGATTAAGGGTCAGGGCAGGGAATTAAAGCCAGAGTTAAAAGACCTTTCGGAATCAGGTCATGATTTATTAATACATATATTATTATTTCATATAATTACATATATAAACTGTTTAAATGAATTGACTCTTGTGACAACTTAACAGACAACTTACAATTATTTTTTTTTATGGTATCTGTCCTAATCTCTCATTTGGTACTCTTAAAAAAGTACTACATAACAAGAAAAGTATTAGCTATTTCTTAGCAGATAGATAACAGTTTTTGTTATATAAATTATTTTTATATTACATATATAAACTGTTAAATACATTAACACTAGTGACAACTTAACAGACATCTTACAACCATTATCAACACACAATTATTTGTAAAGTGGATCAATGAATTAATTGATTATTAACAAATTAAGATTTCAATATTGTTTTTTAATCAAGACACCTATCGATTGTTAATAATGACAATCAGAAATTCTAATGATAGATTATACTCTTCTAAAGCTTAAAAAAATATTCTTTATAATTTAAATTTCAGTATAAAAGTAGAAATTGTCCTCAGTCCACAGTTGTTTTTTTTTTTTCAACTTACAAACTTCCAAATCTCTTAACCATTTTTTTTTTTTTCATTAAATCTTTACATACAAAAAAGTGTTCATATGGATATCACTACTTTTTATTTATTTTTTAAATTGGTACTGACATTTTATTGACACCGTCATTTCTTCAGATATAGTCAGTTGATTAAACTAAACCAGGTAGAAGCTTTGACTACTCTGTAATACTATCCAATTTAAAAAATAAATAAAAAAACAGAGTTATCCTTCCGACAGTTAGGACAAAAAAAAGGGTAAAAAATACCCACTGAGCATCTTACATCATTAGAGCTTACATTAGCTGTCTCTGTTTCAAAAGGAGATGATGGATAGAAATTAGTAGCTCCAGAGTTATGAACAATACAAAGTGTGGTACATGATGCTTTAAAATTTCACCATTCTACAGTACATAAAGATCAATATTTAACTGTCTAGTCTTAAAACCACTTTCAGTTTTTACCAAAAGTTAGATGATACTTTGTTTTCTCATATTAACTGTGGATTAGCCATCACACTCTAGTCAGAAGAAAGCTGAAAGAGCATTGATTGTGCCAGCAAAGAACTTTACCATTTCTACAGCTAGCCAAGTAGCAAGTTTAGGGATTCTAATACTCTGAAATTTTCACGTATTTATAATGACTGAGATATTTTTCTTTCCAATGATGAAAATCAAGCGTTTGTACCACAGTTATCTCATCTTGAGAAACCTGGGGCTCTAAGTATTAATTTTTCCACTAAAATCCAACTATGTAATGTAAATATATTACATAATAATTGTATAATGTAAGTTAATGTTATCTACACTTCCTCGTAATTTAAATTTTGTTTTTCAGTGTGAAGTCGTGTACCATTATAGTACAAGTTCTTTTCAGAGAAAAACCATTACAATGAATTATTATAGGTAAATCTTTTATTTCTTTACTTCCCCACCTTGATTGGAATTTGTTGTAATAAATTAATTACTAAAATAAAATATTTATTTGTCAAAAATATATATATTTTTTTAATTCTCCTTATTTAGAAGAAAAAAATTGAAAGTTGTTATGCAAAGTGATAATGCACTAGAACATTTAACACATATTGAAATTATATTAATCGATCCTTATATTATTACATGACCAACTGAATGTTTCTTTCTTCTAATCCGAATGCTAATATGTAGATGCCTGGAAATTGATGGATTTATTGTTTTAGAAATTTTAAGTAATAATAATACGTTTTAAATTAGTATAAAATCCATGTCTTATGACATGATGATTTATATTTACCCAATTATGGCTATTCCTGCAATTAAATATCTCATTTCCGTTGAAATCTTGCAATACCTTCTTTGAATTTATAGATTTTTTATGTTGCATCTATGTGTAGCATTCGTAAGAAAGAGAACATCCATACAATTTTAAGTAAGTAGCTCATTATCATTTGAAATTTCTGAAAAAATTATCATCCAATTAAAAGCCATCCAATTGCTTGGGCTATTTGTATAGAAATGCACTTATTTATAAGAATTGGATTAGAAGATAGGAACCTAATTTTTTTGCAAAACTGTAAGAAACGAAATTTAGTTTAGCCACTTTAAATCCCTATTTAAATGGTTTTAATGTAGACTAATTCTACTAGCTTATAAAGAAACTTATATTTGGATGGTGCATTCACATGCAGCATTTAAGCATTTAGAAATTCAAGAAAGGAACTTTAGGAGAATATTTTATTTTGAACAAGCAGCATTTACTGGGAACGAGGAGTTTAATTTAATCATTCCTGCAAATAAAAAGAGGAGGTGAAAAGGAAGAGAGATATAAATAAAAGATTTGAAAACCATTTTTACTGAAAACATTGATACTTTGAAGAGACTGAACTTCACTACAGCTCTGATATAGGATGCAGCGCCCAGTTTGTGAACCCATGCTTCAAAGCTGTTTTAATTTTGTTCATTAGAAATAATTAAAGGCCCCTCATCGATTGCAGTAATTGAAAATGGATAAATATTAACTATGATAATTGACTGAAGGAGAAAATTATAGAAATATTTTTGCATGTTGAAAACGAATTCCTGGAAATATGAGTAGTAATATAGATTTACAATAACCCGTTGCAAAGCTAAATATTTTAGAGAAATTAATATATAATATACAAAATTGTGGAATGTAATGATGGGTGATGAAAAGTTAATGACTTTAATTTTTAAAGTAAATTTTCTTTTTCTTTTTTTTTTTTCTAACCTCCCAAAAAGTTTATTTAATTAAATTACATATATAAGTATAACAATACAAATATATACAAACAAAAAAGTCCTTCCGCTGCATTTTAAGGATTGGGGATAGCTAAGGGTAACATATATGGCACAAGGCCTTGTAACTTTCATTGTACGTGGAGGGACCATTCTGCTGGTTATTTATTATTTACACTATAAACAATATATACAAATTAATGGATTTGG